CTCTCTGGAGGATGATCTCAATTTCTGTCCTCACACGCCTTTCTCTGTCCCAAGGAGGCAGCAGTCTGGTGTCTCACCTTCTTATTCTGACAGTGTTCTCTTCCCTTCCTTTGGGGTAGCAGACCTGAGCAGCTCAAGCAGGTACTTTGCCTGACAGTCGCTTAGCAAGCAAAGCAGAGAGTGTTTCTGTGACTGTTCCTTTTCATGCACAATTTAAGTCTATGCCAGACAGAGCACAAGCCAGTGATGTGGAAGCAGCATTATCTCTCTAATTTATCTCCCAATTTTTACTGTAGTGCCCATTGCTACAGCATCAAAACTCAGTTAATACTATACTGACCAAAAATGCTGAAGAATATTGCCGATAGAAGGTAATAATGTGTTCAAACCCTCTGTTGATCTCAGTCTCAAGCTAATGCTAATAAGGATATGACAAGAAGGTTTCTTCCTACATGCTTGATTTTTGGTATGCTAGAGATAAGAATTTGATGCTATAACTAAACTAGATTAATGTCCAAACTAAAAATTTATAATGTTCATACTGAATCATTGTTAAAGAAGTTAAAGGACATAAATGCCAAAATTATTCAGAGAGACACTTCAGTACTGAAAAATTGGAAAGTCAATAGCCTACATTAACTGTTGCCTCCACTACAGGAACGTCAGCCTACGGGAAGGAAATTCAGCATAGAAATACTGACAGCAACATTTCCTCTGTTCTTAATTTGCTGTTCTTGTGTATGGTTGACCTTCAGTCCAAGCCCTGTCACAGGGAGTGTCGGGGAAGAAGGCTGGGCCAGCCCTTCTGTCTGTGCTGTGGACAGGGCTCCTGAGGGAATAGTCTGGCATTGGGTTTTAGATGGGAGGTGCATTAAATACAAAAAACTGCATGGTAACTGCTACAAACATCAGTAAACAAAGACTCGACAAATCTTGGGAGCCAACATGACCAAAATAGCAGAAGGAAGCTAATAGTAGGAACGCTTTGCAGCTGTAGCCTTTTTCATCTGAAGATATGCTGCTTTGAAAATATGACTTAGGCCTCACAATATACTGGTGATGGATGGATACATAATTATACACAATTTGATATACAGCAAAGATTTTTATTGATGTGACTAAGGAAAGCCAGACAGCTAGAGTAGAAACCAATTTAGACCTGATTTCTACCCATCTTCTCTGAGCACGTGGCAATCTTTGACAACAAGGTCTTGCGTCTACTCCAGAAAGGGCCTTTTCTATGCTCCTGCCTGTGAGTCATCTCTCCAGTTCTGGGTTCAGCATCAGCAGTCATTTTTTCTCCTTCTTAGTAGCTGGTGCAGTGCTGTGGTTCTGAGTTGCCAGCTGGCCTTAAACCATGACATCTCCTAAGGGTGGAGTTTATAGCTAACTACATGTAGCTATGAGTTTCCAATCTGGAGTATGAAAAAGAAGAGGTATGATTGGATATTTGCCTCTGATTTGAGATGCAAGTGGTAAATGATCGATGAATGTAAGGACTGAAGGGTGTCACATACGTAAATGCCTTCTGGCATGGGTAAATTTCAAAGTCAAAATGTAGTTCAGTCAAAAAGATGACCCTATAAATAATGACTACCTTTTCTGTTTTAGCTCACTAAATCCACATCTGATTTACTCCAATTACATATAAGAACATGCTTCCTCAGACAATTTTAAGTAAACTCAGTCTGGCCAATCAAACTCATGTCTTTCTTTTTTGCATATCATTACTGATAACCAAACCTCTGGAGGGTGGTTTGGACCCATATTTTCTCTACATGTAATCTGATTAACCTTTGCCAGTACAGGCGTTAGTTTGAGAAAGATGTGGAGGCTTGGCTTCTCAGGCACTTTTCATAGAAACATTCAGTGGTTTCAGAAACACCTGGCTGAGGAGCGTGTGTCTCATTGGCCTTCCGAAGGTTTGTGTTCCTACTTCCCTTTAGAGTATGTCTACACTGCAGCTGTTGTTTGGTAAGAGTGAATATAGGCAAACATACCCAAGCCACCTTCAGCCTAGCTGTTTTGACTATCGTAAAACTATAGAATCATAGAATAAATAGGGTGGGAAGGTTCCTCGGGAACTTGCTCAAAGCAGGGTCAACTATGAGGTCAGACCAGGTTTCTCAGGGCTTTTATGGTTGATTCGTGAAAACCTCCAAGGATGGAGACAGCACAACCTCTTTGGGCTCCCTGTTCCAATGCTTGACTGTCCTAATGTCAGTGTGTGGGTTTTTTTTTTATTTCTATAACCAGTCTGAAGCTCTTTGTATTTTAGTTTATGTTCACTGTCTTTTGTCTTCCTGCTCTGCACTACTATGAAAAGCTTGAGTCTGTCCTTTTGACAACCACCTCTTCAGCACTTGAAGACTGCTACTAACCTGGCCAAAAGCCATGTCATCTCCAGGCTGAGCAAACCCTGTTCCTTCAGCCTCTTGTCATACAGGGAGTGCACCAGCCCCTGGCCTTCTCTGGGGTCCTCTGTTGAGTTTGCTTCACTTAATTTCCCTCTGAATGCAGCAATACAGCTAATTTTTCAACCATGTTCTTGTCAACCCATCCAGACCATGACATCCCAACTGGTTTATGAGAATGCTGTGGGATGCCATGTTAAAAACCTGGCTAGATTTAAGTTAAGACATCCATGGCTCCACAAGTCCAGTCATTTTGTCATAGCAGGCAGCTGGGTTGATCAGACATAATTTGGCTCTGGTAAATCCATGCTGCTTGTTGCCAGTCATCTTTTCCTTATGTGCCCAGAAATGTCTTACAAGAGAATTTGCTCCATATTTTTGGTTCCAGCCTCCCAGGATCCAAAGTGAGGTTGATGGGCTTGTAATTCCCCAAAACGTCATTTGGGCCTTTTTTAAAGATAGGTGGAGCATTTGCCTTTCTTTAGTTATTGGAGATTTTCTGATCTCCATGTGTTTTGAAAGATGACCGTGTGGCAAGGACATCAGATTTTACTTACAATCTGATAGATATATTGAATGAATCATTTTAGGCTTTGGGAATCTGTGTAGTTACAAGTCTGAAGTCTGCTTTCCCCTCTTGGCCATGTGTACTGGCTTCTTTGAAAGAACTGCATTTAACCCCATACACTTGAAGAACTGTTTGATAATGACAATCCTCTCTGTTTCCATGTCCCCAGTGACCCTCCATGGATTAACAGGGAATTTCCAGAGGCAGACAGCTGGGGCACAGGCTGGAGGGGAGATGTCTGGAGAGCCTTATGCATTATTTCTTGATTTTTAGCAGGAAGACTTTGTACATTACTTGTGTAAGCTCAATATATGATATTTCTCTTCAGTAAAGTTGTTTGCATTTCACACTGAAAGACTGGGCTCACTTTGGCTGGTTCTACTGGAGAGATGTCAACAAACAGATTTTTATTATAAAGGCATTTATTAATTGAAATTATTTGACTTGGGTTGCAAATATCACTAATCTAGCCTGGCTTTTGAACTGTAAATGTTTAACGAAGTTTCCTGACTTTCAACTGGCCTCATAGCTCAAGTGACTCATTGCAAATGGCTTCGGCTTGCTTTTTTATTTCCTGCGTTGCCCCTGCTTTTGCTTACAGCAGCACCCTCAGAGTGTCATCCACACAAGGCTGCCTGCCCCTGTCACCTACTGCTCCCTGATGAGGGCTGTTGCCTCCAGTATTCAGTGCAGCACTACAGCCTGTGCAGCACCAAGCCTCTGCCTCATCCCGAGATCTCCCCTCAGCTTCGTAAGGCCACAGAGGGGAGACACATTGCCCCTGTACTCTTTACGTTCTTTCTGGAGCTCCATGCTGCCCAGTTGCAGACTGGGGTAGGGTGGCATCCCACAGCCCAGTGCTCCTGGGGTGATTCTGCACACTCCTGGCTTGCCTTTCAAAGCAAAAACCCCAGAAAAGGGGACCATGGTTTGAGTCATTGGGTGCCTTTTGTTAGTTAGGGTCATGTATCATAGAATCACAGAATGTTTTGGGTTGGAAGAGACTTTAAAGACCATCTAGTTCCAACTCCCCTGCCAGGGACCCCTTCCACTAGACCAAATTGCTTAAAGCCCCGTCCAACCTCGCCTTGAACACTTCCAGGGGCATCCACAACTTCTCTCAGTGAGCAACCTCTTCCAGTGCCTCACCACCCTCATACCGAAGATTTTTTTCCTGATAGCTAATCTAA